CATTCATCTCAGCGTTAAAACAGCACCCTCTATCTACAAAGCTATGCAAACGTATTTGTTTATAAAATATAAACAAATTATTCATGTGAAACGGTTTGAATTTTAATGTGTGCCATTCAAGAAAACTAATATTCATAACTTTTGTGGATTTTGCTTTATTTTAAGACAACCTTGATTTAGGTATCAACACTTATTTGAATTTGAATATTTTTTTGTAAATCTAGAGGGAGTCACATGTGACCTAGCAATATTTTTATTACAAAACTTTTTAAAAAAACAACAAAACAAATAAAATCATGTATCATGAACACAACCTAAATATGTTATTTCTTAAGCTTTCTCTTTTTGTATAAAGACATTTAGAAATAAGAAAAAATATTCATTGAATTATTTATTTGTCTTTATCTCAAGTCTATGATATTTATTATTGGCAGGGTATTGGGGGTCAAAGGTTAAAGGTTATAATGTGCTTGTAAATTGATGTTTGGTAAATATGTAAATATCAAATGTTTGTGTGCTAATGAAGTTACAATCATAGGTTAGAAATGGTAATCACCTCCATTGACAGTTTATGGAGGTGGAGGGGGGGGTGATAAGGCTAGGTGAAGAAGTTTAAAGCGATTGCAAGTTCATTCTTTGTTTCTTTATGAGGTGGAGGAGTGCGTTATCTCTGGAAGCATGGGAAGGAGAGAAGACAAATTAATAATTATTTGGATATTCTTGCCAAACTCATTAACCAATTCACAAGCTCTGTTTAAGTAACTTTTGTTCATGATCCAAGTTTTACCTAATATGGTAAGGCGCCGCCACAGTCTATGTGCAGCACATGTTCAAACTTTGTGTAAAGAAACTGCATTTTATGCTAGTTGTATTCGTTGCTTCAGATCTAAACTGAGCACTCCGGGGCACAACGGCTGTGATGATTTAAAGACTTCCAAAACAAAATATATCGGACAATAAATTTCAAATTCATATCTTCAATATTTTATATTTTAGATCTTTTATATTATTTATTTTATATTTTTATGGATTTAATCATTTCATCCATCCATCCATACTTTGAAATTTACAAAACTTTTAAATATGTATTGTGTGTAATAAATATTCTTCTTTTTATTTGCTTGTATCAATGATTTATAAGATGAGCATAGTAAACTTAAGCTGATTGGTGATATGTGATACAATAAAAGTCTTATTCTGCATGACCTCCATGTCAACAAAATTGAAGATTATCAATGTTTGATTGTAGAGACAAAAATTAGTATGGTTATTGCCCGATTCAAAATGGCAAAATTGTGAAATAGACACTTGACAAATATGAAAGACACTAAAAACTACAATCTAAATTTTCCTTTCTTTTCTCATTATGTTTTGGGAATTTGTGATCATCTTTCAATTTTTGTTTCAAAAATCAAATGATTGAACTTGAATTTCCTTTTTTTTTTAATAGCTCAGTGTCAAAATGTCAATGTTAAAATACCACAAAACATGCAATGACCCATTTTAGTTTTGTTACGTGTTTACCTAACAATGGATCTCACAGTGCACAGATTATAGTCTACCTATAGTATTAGTGATCATCTCACAATTTGTGAGACTTCACATGAGATCAATCATCACATATCACACCAGCTGCATCCCCTTATCTTATAAACCCTTGCTTTTATTTATATTTGTATCATTTGTATTGTATCATGATAATTTAATGTTACCAATGGATGATACTACATGTACATAATACATGTAATATGAAGTGTTGAATTATGATAAGTGAATGATCACATCTCTGATTTTGTGATAAATATACTGTAAATATGAGACAAATATTTTGTTTTTTAAATTTGTATATTAAGAGATTAAAAATTCATATCTATGCATATTTTGGAGTCTTGCAATATTGATGGTCATTTTTAAAAAAACAAAAACAAAATTAGACAACTTGTGCATTTTTACATTATTATTATTTTACAGTTGTCTACTGTATTTGAATTCATGTTTTCACAATATGGGAGTGAGTTACTGTCGTAATTGCTAGTCTGTCTGTCTGTCTGTCTGTCTGTCTGTCTGTCCGTCTGTCCGTCCGTCCGTCCGTCCGTCCGTCCGTCCGTCTGTCTGTTTGTTTGTTTGTGCTCATCTGTTTGCTGTACATTTATTGCCTGGGGAAGACAAAACTCAGTTTCTTGTGTGCCTTTTATTTTTTAGTTCATAAAAAAAAGTACAATTATTGAGCATATTACTGCGCTTATATGCTATGCATTATTGAAGATAAGTTTCCATTCTATATAATGGGAAAACCCTGCACACTCACTGAATTAAATGTTATTTTTCTTTTAATGTATATTAGAATTCATATACATAATATGTATATAACCTATAGCTCCACTGCCTACTTCGCCTTACAATAGAGATCAGAGCGTGCCCTGAAAAAAAAACTATTTCAATGGGGT